ATATTTTAGAATCACAATCATAAAACAATTGTAAGCTTTCGAAATCAAGTGTTATGGAAAATCCGTCGAATAAACCACATGAGAAAAATGACTCCACCACTTCAAAACTTGCATAATTAAGGATCAAATCATTTAGTCAAATGGACATACATACGCATCATCCTAAGATTCATGCATTCACGTGATCACGCAACATATCATCACACGACACTTCACCACATAATAGACATCATTACACGGCACGTCATCATATGACACAACACGTTGGAAAAATCTTAAAAAAATTAAAAAATTGTCAATGTCAGCGATTTCTAGTCAACATTGGCCGGCATGACTAAATTAACAAATCGTTAAAAGGTTTATGATTAAATTGGTTTAATTGAAAGGTTTAAAAAAATTGTCATAATGTCAGCGATTTCCAATCAACATTGGCCGGCATGACTAAATTAGCAAATCGTCAAAAGATTTAGGACTAAATTATCATAATTAAAAGGTTTATAATTAAATTGGCATATCGTCAAAAGATTTAGGACTCTTTTAGTGAATTTTCCCTTTACTGATTACCGTGACTAATATTTTAACCCGTCACTTGGCATGTTGCTGGATCATTAATTGTACTGACTGGACTACTTTAGCACTCTAGTGTGTTGTCGTGTTGCATGGCTGGACTGTGTAAGTATATATATGCAGCAATAGAGCGGTTGGGGAAAGAGACCATCTTCACATTTAATGCCGAATTCAGCAGTGGCGATTCTTTGCAAGCAAAGATAAGATGCAAATTTGTCATTGGGTCTATGTGCAGTGAGACATTACACGGCACAAGCAATGTTGTTCGTGTCCGGAAATAGCTATCACTTGTTGGGTTAGCTCGTTTTAAAGTTTTATGGCAGTTCAAACTCATTCCATCAAGTAGCTAACTATGGCATTGCTTATGGATTTCTTCCGGTTCAAACTGATTTGCCGCAAATAAATATGGCGACTAAGACTTCGTGTCTTGAGTAACACGAGGCTACAAAATTCAGCTGAAAGTTTAAATTATTATATGAAAGCGTAATTTAATATTTAAGTATTTTAGCACTCTTCCTCTCGCGTAGGCCGATTTTAGCCTTAGACTAAAGCGTGAAAATATATGAAGGAAGGCAAATACGCAGCCCTGAAGAATTTGAGATCATGACTTCCCGCTCTGATACCGTATAAATTTTTGTTGGGTCACTGCCTATTGATCTATCTTTCACCGACGATGATGACCGAAGTTAGACAATGTGCCAATTGACTTATCAACAACAACTTAATCTACAGAAACAAGCTTTTCAGGTGCCAAATAATAATTTTGTTAATCTCAATACTGTATTCGCAACAGCTAAATATAATGTAAAGCGTGCTGGATTGAATATTTGAGCACGCTATATATTTATGGCTATTGCCAGCGAATAAGTTGCTTAAAACTATTCTCCTAGAGTCATTCATCCCGTCCTTCATCGACTTAAATATGATATTGGCTTTTTCATAGCCATTGTTTAGTATTGCGTTTGGAGTGTGGCCTTCCTTTAAAGGTAGAAAAGTGGATCTAATTATACGTAAGAAATCTGTATTTTTTTTTGTCAAGATTTGATTTCATTCATTTTCACAGAAAAATAAGAGAGAAACAATGCAGTCTAACTGCAAACCAAGATAAATCGCAGACAACTTCCATATAAAAAAAGATCCAAATAACAAGATAAATCATAATAACAAAGTTAGGAGTCACACGCTCAAAGAGCAGATATGTGACTTCTTCAAACTAATTAAAATCAGCAGCGGATCACAAATCCATCTTCGGTAATGAGCACACATTGATATCTTCATATGTTATCATGGCTTTGCCTTTCGGTGGTACGCTCCTAGGTCGGCATCCTCAACACTTTCACCATTCAAAGTAAAAAAGTTGAACGAGCACAGATCTAAGGCCTGTGAGAGCGAAACCTTTACGAAATTCCTCCAATCCCTTTTAAAACTGGACTTGTATACCAACGAAACCCGAAACAAACGAAACCCCAAAATCATACATGCAAAGATCCTCAAATATAGACTAGATTGGTATAGAAATTGTAAGATTTTGTGAGACCACCGTCAACTGTTCTAAAAGCTTAAACTGTTAGATGAAGACGTGGTTTACAATTAAATATTCTAACACTCTCATTCACTCTTAGTCTGGTCTTTTTGTCTAGTACTAAGCGTAAACATATTTAATTGGGGAGACAAATAAAGCCTAGAAAAATTTGAACTCAGGATCTCCAATTTTGATACCATGTAAAATTTTGTGAAATCACTGCCAACTGTTCTAAAAGTTTAAGTTGTTAAATGAAATGATTTATTATTTAAATATTCTAATAGAAACATCTTCGAAATGGGAGGGAGAAGCTTCCAGATCTAGACTAGATTGGAAGAAAAAAGCTCCCCAAACAGGAGGAAAGCAAGACGGGAAACAGAGAACCAAAACAGCCAAAGAAAAAAGGGGAAAAAGGGAGAAGATGGAGAGATCTAGCTTAAACCCTCCCCTCCACGAAGGTTAAAGAAGAATGCTGTGTGAAGATGAGAGGGAGAGGAGAGAATCCTAGGGTTTCGTGAAAAGTTCGGATCAATCTATGACCTAATATTTAAATTTGTATTGAATAACAATAATATATGTATTATTGCAAAGAACCATGCAATTAGTGTATTTTTACTCTGTGGCGCTGGCAAAGGTCGTAATTTATTTTTCAGAGATAATGGAATTTTAACCATGGATGTATCTAGATAAGTCATCCATTAAATCTCATGATTACTAATTTTATTACCACATGATATTGGGAGAGGAAGGTTAGAAAAACGGTAAAAAACAATGATCACGCGCATCAAATTAAAGCTTGAAAAGGTTTGGAATAAACTAAGAAAGATCACGTACAATTAGAAGCACTATAAAAGGTTTTGAGAGCTGAAGCTTCATTCTGTCCCTCCGGTGTGGCGAAGATACGGACGAGACCGTCTGCATCAAAGGGCTTGAAAAGCAAAGGGTGTTCCTCGTCCACGAGCTCGTCAGGGCACACCAGACAATTCCTTCATCGCTGGAGAAGATCCAGATGGAGTGTCCAGCCTCGTGTCTACTCATCATCACGCGGTGTCGGGGGACAGTATAACCTTTCGTTGCTCCATCCCTAAGAAAAGCCCACGAAATAGCTCATGACTAAAAAGTTATAGAAAAAATTATCTAAAAGGTCCTAAACCTATTACATGACGGTAAATTCAATCCTAAACATTTCAATTGTGCCAATTAGTCCTAACCTTTCAACGATTTGCCAATTTAGTCCTTCCGATCAAATTTGACTGAAAATCGTTGACATGGACGTTGATCACCCTATGTGGCATGATCAACACTGACGTTGATAACTTTTGGAATTCTTTAAAATATTTTCTAAATTTTTTTTTCTTTTTTTTCCTTTCTTTTTTTATTTTTTAGAAATACCTTCGAAACTGGTCTAAAATCGCCAAGAGCCGGCCAAAAACAGGTCAAACTAGTTGGAAAAGTGATTGAACCGATCCGGTCAACATTGGTCAACGGCCTCGGTCAACGGTCGGATGTTGACGTGGCGGTGTTAATGTGGAAAAAGTTGACGTGGAGGATGATGTCAGCAATGACATCAGCACGCAGAAGGAGCGTCCGGCACATGCAGGCGCGTGGAGCTCCAGCGGCACATGGATCTTACGCGCAAAGGGCTTCTGGCGGCGCATGAGGGCGCATCCAGCAGTGGTTGGCAACTTGGCAACAAAATTTCAATGGCCGACTCAACTGAGGATGGTGAGTCTGGTGGTAGTGTTCATTTTCAAAACAACCATCAGAATACGTGGGAATAGCCTAAAAGGTGCCGAGCTTAGAGATTTGAGACGCAGACGTGGTAGCGCGAGGCTGCGTCCATCGACCAACATAGGTCATATTCATGAAATTTCGTGATTACAAATCTTAGTACCAGATCACATATCGAAGATGCATTGGAAGGGGAAGGCTAGAGAGAGCGGAGAAAAGAGATCCCACGTATAAAAACTAAAGCTTGAAAGGATTTGGAATCATCTAAAGAAAATCACATTCAATTGAAATACTATAAAAGGTTTTGAGAGCTAAAGCTCCATTCTGTCCCTCCGGTGTGGTGAAGATACGGATGAGACCCTCTACGTCGAATGGCTTGAAAAGTAAAGGGTGTTGCTCGTCCACGAGCTCGTCGGGGCACCAGATAGTTCCTCCGACGGAGCAGAAGATGGCGATGGAGTGCCTGGCCTCATGTCCGCTCATCATCACGTGGTGTCGAGGACAGTCTAACCTTCCATTGCGCCATCCCTAAGAAAAGACCACGGAAGAGCTTAAGAATAAAGTGAAACAATGTATGCAACTATACATGCATCTCTTGACCAAGGAGATTACTCATGAATTTTTATGCGGTGCACATCTTGTGTACTCTTTTTATTACACAAACCCACTTTTGTTGTGAAATTTTGTGAGACCATTGCCAAATATTCTAAGAGATTAAGCTGATAGATAAAGACATGATTTTATATTTGAATAATTATAGCATTCCCCCTCATACATAGAATGATCTTTTATTACGTAGCCCACTTTTACTATGAGATTTTGTGAGACCACTATTCTAAAAGCTTAAGCTATAATAAAAGAGTTTCTTTGGATGCATTTTACAAAGTTGACACACTTCTTATATAGAAAAGATTTAGATTCAAAATAGGAAATCTACCTGGATCAGGATTTTTTTACGGGATCAAATCGAGACATATTTTCAACATGGTCCAAGTGCTTTACTAAGGCATCGGTCCTAAATGAGTTAATGAGATAAAGACTGGTGTTTAAAGAGCTGCTTTTTGGCTCCTCTATAATAGTACAATTAACGTGAGCCAACCTTATTTCATTTACACCAAAACATCGTTTTCTTTTGAAATTTTTTGTAAGTAGTAGAATGCTTTTTGCTACTAGTGGGAAATAATTAAAGAGTTTTTTTTTCCATAGAAGAGAGAAAAGAAAGGAAATTTATTCATGAACACCCATTTCTTTGTCATTTTCTTTTACAATACTTGCTTGCTAGATGCAATCTCATCATCAACAGCCTGAAGCACATAAGCTCCGAGCATCAGCAGTGGGGTCAGATGATTGTAACCTAAACAAGCTCCAGAAGGGGAAAGCAAGGGAAATCTAATATGCTTCTCATTTATTGAGCGACCGTCCACACAATTAATTATTAACGACTGTAAAACATATTCCTTAAGGCTTGACTTGCGGTTGATTGATGGGGCGAAAGGACAGACAATGCTTCGACAGCGCCTCGATCTCAAATCCTGTAAAAGGTATCCATCGCCGAAGCTCCATTTTGGCCCTCTTTGATCTTGTAGATGCGGGAGAGACCGGCAATATCAAAGGGCTTAAAAAGCAAAGGGTGTTGGTCGTCTACAAGCTCATCTGGACACTGAATCGTTCCTTGAACAGAAGAGAAGAGCCCCATGCAATATCTTGGCTCGTGCCCGCTCATCATTACACGGTGAATAGGGCTGTGTAATCTCCCATTGCTCCATCCCTGCGTGCAAGAAGTAAAAAAGTGAGAGGCTCACAATGATCAAGGTCAATTATCCAGGAGCTTATAACTCTCAAGAGCCTCAACATCTTGACTTCTTCTGACCGTTTATATAAGGTCCACATGTTTAGGTTATATCTGTCGAGATGTCTATCTCACCACAAGTTAGCATCAATCACGCCGATTCAATATGCATCAACCATACATGAATCTATGGTTCACAAGGCGACCGGTCAATAAGGATTCCACAAAGAAATCTGCTTTAATGTCGTAATTCTAGCTATTGCCAGAGGTGATATTCTTGTGGGATGCTTATAGCATGTTACCTCCTCTATGAACCAAATTCAATATGGGGAGGGGCGGTACTCACATAGAATGACTCCCCGGCGAGGACAATGAAGGAGGAAGTTGAGGAAGGGGCGACCTCGATCCAACATCCGTCCTTAGTTTGCACTTCCAATCCGTTCACATCATTTTGGTGAAGTATGGTCACTAAGTTCGCATCCCGATGGCTCACAGTCCCGGGCTTCTTGGACTCTTCGGTCCCAGGAGCTGCATATCTCATGAGACGGTAATTGTATTTGACCGACTTGGCTAGCGACCCCACGTACTTGTCTACGCCCAAGCTTCCCAAAACCAGTTTCCTCACCAGTGAATCCAATTCCAAAACCTTCATAACATACGTATTCAGTGTCTCGCTGCATGTTCATGAAAAAGGCACATGTCAAAACTTCAGTTTCCATAGATAAAGGGCGTGGATTGGCATCTTCATGTTACGTGTGTTTTTATGTACACCACCGGGTAAGATGATTCATTTTAGATTTTCTTCTTGCATCAAAGTAATTGAAATTCAAATTTATCGTCATTGGTGATCAATCTCATAAACATTTTAATATCTTAACACTTCCTTATTGGGAAACGGTGATATATTTGTTAGTAATAAGATAGGGATTACCAAAATCTTGTGTTTCCCTCTGGCCACATGAGATCAGCTAATTCTTCGATCGAGCCCGAATTGGGCTCATAGCCCACTCCAAACGCCTCGTAGAGAGGCGCATGAGGAAGATTTGCGAGGTAGCCGATGTACGGCTTATTCGGGAAGTCAAACCGGCACTTCACATCGGTCGGAAGCTCGAGCAATTCCTCCAATTCTTGGAACGCATCATTGTGAAGCTCTGGGGTCATCTTATCATACAAAGCTTCGAAGCAACCGAATTTTTCAAGGGCTTGTCGGACTTGATTTTGCAAGGAGTCCCATCGACCCGATCCTGGCTTCGAGCCATCTAATTCGGACAGATCTATCAGGGGAAGCTTCAGTGTTGAAATAGAGCTCATGATCAATTTGTCTTTCTTTCTGAGTACTTTTTCGAAAACTTCTCTCTTATTTTGTTCTTGGGGTGGTTCTCTGCTGGATTTATAAGGCTTGTGCATCCTCGTAGAAGCCGCTGTAGCAATTTTAAAGTTACAATATTTCTATGAAGAGTGTATTATTTTCCTTGATTTGCCAGAGTTGAATAGTCAATCAAGTTTGTTTTTTTGGGCATATAGCTTTGGATAGTTAGTGAGTGGACTTTTAACGCAAGCAATGATGTAGGTTGTCCTCCTCTTCCTGTATCTGTTTCGTGGAATCCATGGAAACAAATCAGCAGTAAGGTGAAAATTGAAGCCTAATATGGGTGAAGAACACTAGAAGTGCTAAAACTTGTGTACGGCGCTCACTTTAGTGTCAAAAGTTTGTTTCGGATCACTTAAGTGCCAAAATCGGAAAAAAACTATCATTTAAGTGTCAACGGCGAGAAATTCCAACAAAATTAATGCATGACTTTTTTAATTAAAATTTTAATCTACGTGGCATTTCCACGTGTATAATTCGAATTTCTCAGTCCTACGTGGCATTTCCACGTGTAAATTTCGAAGTTTTAATTATTTTTTTGATTTTTTTTCTGTTTTTTTCTTTTTTTCTTTTTTTTCTTCTTCTTCTTCTTCTTCGTTTGGCCGGTGATCGGACACCGACCACCGGCCATGGCCGGCCGCCTGGCCTCGCCCGGACGAGGCCGCCATCGCCCGCCACGGGCGAGGAACTAAGAAGAAGAAGAAAGAAAAGAAAAAAAGAAAAAAACAGAAAAAAAAAATTCACGAAAAAAATTTAAAATATTATTAAATATTGTCCTCGTCAGCGCCGACATGCCACGTAGGACGAGAAATTAATAAAATATGGCAACGTCAGATTTCCGGCGACCCAAATCGGAGTTGGCACTTAAGTGATCGTTTTTTTCAAAAAGTGGCACTTAAGTGATCCTAAACAAACTTTTAGTACTAAAGTGAGCGCCGTATACAAGTTTTGGCACTTCTAGTATTCTTCACCCAGCCTAATATTAATGCCACACTCAGAAACAGCAACCCCTGCAAACAAAGAAATAACTCTTACTTTTTTAATATTGCTATGTTATTATCTTTTTAAATATTGCGTGACATGCTGACAATAAATCATTCATCAATTAAATATTGACATTTGAAAAAATTATTTGTGTTTATTTAGTTTCCGAAACAAAATACAGTAGTGAAAATTAGAAAAGAATACAAGTGATTGGATTGATGATGTATAGTGTGTCCACCTTATACAAATGTAAACTAAGAACATTTTAATGTTTGAGCTCTTAGATGTTTTGAAAAGCTTAAATCAGAAGCTAGTGGCCCATCTAGAGGTTTGGAGGGAATCGAAGAAAATATTTAACTTGTGAAGCTCAATTGTTGGAGGATAGGGAATTTCTTCATACTCTTATGATGAACAATAAACCAAAATATAAGAGCTCAAAGTCTTTTTCACCTGGGGAAGATTGATGATTAAGAATCTTCTTGAGGTGGTCGTGGTGTTGCTGTGCACCGGGGTGACAACGTGACTAGTGGGCTACAAATAATGAGGCACGCTCGTTATTTGGTGTTCAAATCATAGTGATTGAAGTGTTGAACTCACATGTCGTAAAATTGATGTGGTATGGAACAGTTAATTCATATAAGTTGCGTCATAACTTATCGGCTCAAGCTTTTGAGTGAATGTATATCTAACTGAATATGTTAACACGCTCGAGCTTGGCTCTCTCTTGGTGATTTCCTGAGAAAAAGGTATCGAGCTTCTGCCGCGCCCTATCAAAAGGAAAATGGTGCACGAGAGAGAGAGACTTTGGTGAAGCTGTTTGCTGGCGATGAAAGCAAGTAAAGGAATTGGAATTAGGCGAAGAAAGCAAGAGTAAAGAATCGTCAAATTCCTATTAATTTTGGAGATGAGTTGGAGGTTGGTGGACGGTGGAGTCCAAGTGAAGAAGCGGAGAAAGTGACGAAGAATGGGATGCAACGATGGAACCAAGGAAAAGAAAAGAGATGGATATCGTCTAGACAAATCGATCGGAAGCAGCCGTTTAATCGATTCGGAAGCCTCTTTGAACTATAGATAGAATTGCATCATAATCATCCCTGATTAGATGCATAAATGACACTGTTTGAAAATATAATTTAGGTCAATATTCTGTCAAAATTAGTCTAGAAAATTAAAAATTTATCGTCACTCTACACAAATAAAAATACAATCTTAAGTAATTCTAGTTGTTACTATGCTAAATTTACCATTCTTGCATAAGTAAATACCTACGGTTAGTCTTATCTAGTTAGCTAACTAGATAAGACTAACCGTAGTCTCGTAGACAAATCATATTGCGACAAAATCAAAATCAAGTCGAATTGGCTAATAGTTGAAAATCCAAGGGTTCACATATGCTCGTTGTTCTAGAAATATTTTAGAATCACAATCATAAAACAATTGTAAGCTTTCGAAATCAAGTGTTATGGAAAATCGGTCGAATAAACCACATGAGAAAAATGACTCCACCACTTCAAAACTTGCATAATTAAGGATCAAATCATTTAGTCAAATGGACATACATAGACATCATCCTAAGATTCATGCAATCACGTGATCACGCAACATATCATCACACGACACTTCACCACATAATAGACGTCATTACACGACACGTCATTATATGACACAACACGTCGGAAAAATCTAAAAAAAATTAAAAAATTATCAATGTCAGCAATTTCCAATCAACATTGGCCGGCATAACTAAATTAACAAATCGTTAAAAGGTTTAGGACTAAATTGGTATAATTGAAAAGTTTAAAAAATTGTCATAATGTCAGCAATTTCCAGTCAACATTAGCCAGCATGACTAAATTAGCAAATCGACAAAAGATTTAGGACTAAATTGACATAATTGAAAGATTTAGAATTAAATTGATATATCGTCAAAAGATTTAGGACTCTTTTAGTGATTTTTTCCTTTACTGGTTACCGTGACTAATATTTTAACCCGTCACTTGGCTTGTTGCTGGATCATTAATTGTACTGACTGGGATACTTTAGCACTCTAGTGTGTTGTCTCGTTGCGTGGCACGAGGGTGTAAGCATGTATATGCAGCAATAGACCGGTTGGGGAAAGCGACCATCTTCACATTTAATGCCGAATTCAGCAGTGGCGATTCTTTGCGAGCAAAGATAAGATGCAAATTTGTCATTGGGTCTATGTGCAGTGAGACATCACATGGCACAAGCAATGTTGTTCGTGTCTTGAAATAGCCATCACTTGTTGGGTTAGCTCATTTTAAAGTCTTATGGCAATTCAAACTCATTCCATCAAGTAGCCAACTATGCCATGGGTTAAGGATTTCTTCCGGTTGGCAATTCGTGTTGTCAAATACGAGCAGTTGATATAAGAAAAGACAATGAAATAAAAATGGGCCTAATTCCCTAAAAAAACCCCCAACTTTATGTCAACTCCCAAATCTGTTTCGAATTTTTTTTATCTCCGAAAAAACCCCAAATTTTAGGTCCAGTCTCAAATCTGTACCAAACTATTTTTTGTCTCAGAAAAACCTCAAACTTTAAGCCCAGTCCCAAATCTATCCCGAATTTTGTTTTGTGTAAAAAAAATCACCAAAATTCAATTTATTTTCAAAAATATACCCCTGTGATCCAATTCCAACTTGATACGGCACTTCCACGTCGATAACAAATCCACATCAATAAAGTAATAGGGCTTTTTTTTAGATAAAAAAAAGTTCGGAAGAAATTTGGACTAAACCTAAAAGTTAGGTTTTTTTAAAGTTAAAAAAAAATGTTGGGGTGGATTTGTTATCGTCCCTAACTTTCATATCCTAGAATGGTTTTATTTTGGAAAATTTCAACAATTTTTATTTGGTTTGATTTATTATCAAAGTAGAAATGCGACGTTGGTCTGCACCTATCGACCTATTACTTTGCTGATGAGGATTTGTTATCGACGTGAAAGTGCCACGTCAAGTTGGGACTGGATCACAAAGTTATATTTTTTAAAATAAATTTAAATTAGCTGATTTTTTTACATAAAACAAAATTCGGGGCAAATTTGGAATTGAACTTAAAGTTTAGGGTTTTTTCTGAGACAAAAAAAAGTTCCGCGCAGATTTAGGACTTGACCTAAAGTTTGGGATTTTTTAGGGAATTCACTCAATAATGGTGCATTTGGTAACTATTATGTACCTGGAAATAATTTATGCTCAGAAATGATTTTTCTTTATTTTGTTCCCAGAAAAAAATTTGTAAGCATTTCAAGGCGTTTATTAACGGCCCAAAATTTCCATTCTTAGAGTAAAAAAAGAGTATAAATGCGTTTGGTAACGGTACAAAATTTCTTTTTATTAATAATATTTTTAAAAATTTTAATATTTATTTCTTTTTTTTTTTTCTTTCTTCTTCTCCTTCTTGGCCATGGTCGGGTCGTCGGCTACAGGCAAGGGTTAGACCCTTGCGGCCTGGGCGAGGGCCGCTCTCGCCGGCCTTTTCCAGCCCTTGCCCAAGCTGGCGAGGACTGCCCTCGAGGCTCGCGGCCTGGGCGAGGGTCACCCTCGCCGGATCTGGCGAGGGCTGGATTATCGCCGCCACCCTCGCCCAGACCACAAGCCTCAAGGGCGGCCCTCGCCAAATTGGGTGAGGGCTAGAAAAGGCCGGTGAGGGCCATGACACTCTCGCCAGCCCTCGCTCGTGGCCGATCACCGGTGACTGGCTAGGAAAGAAGAACAGAAAAGAAGAAAAAGAAAAAAAAATTCTCTTCTATTTCTGATTATTGTTCCTAGAATCAAGAAGTAACTTTTTTCTTAATTCTTGATTCCGCTCTAAAACTGATTCTGAGAATAAATTTGTGCAAATTTGTGCCCGGGAACAAAAAATCTACAAAATGGATTTCTGTTCTTTTTTTGTTCTACGGAACAAAAGAATAGAGCTGAGGAACACTTTTGCTGCTGTGATTGATTTCTAAGAGGAAGAAGAATGTGA